GCGGCCGAACAACGCGCCCGCCGTAATTCTGAACGCTTCCGCTTGACGCCGACGCCCCCCTGCCAAGCAAGTGTTCATTTTTCAGGCACGGTCCGCTGGTCCGCCGCTAGTCCGCGGTCCCACCCTAACCCCGAACCCTAACCCTAACACATCACCCTGACCCTAAAGCCTAAACCGTATCCCTGACCCTAATCCCTAACCCCTAACCTTGACCCCCTCCCCTAACTCCTAACCCTAATCCCTAACCCTAACACTCACCCTCAACCCTAAACCCTAAACCTAACACTAAACGCGAACCCCATCCCCTAAGCCCTACTTGAACCCGAACCCTCACCCCTAGTTTTAACCCTGACCCGAACACTGAACCCAAACTTTGACCCCTATCCTAAACCCTGACCCCAACCCTAACCCTAACCCTAATCTCTAACCCTAATTCTAGCTCTGAACCTTCAGCCCCAACCCTAAACCAAACCCTACACCCCATCCCTAACCCTAAACCCTAACCCTAACCCGAACCCCAATTTTAACCCGTAGCCCTAAACCGTAACCCCTAAACCTAACCCTAACCCCTAACCCTATCCTTAAACCCTGACCCTTAAACCCTGACCCCAACTCTAAACTCTAACCCCTAACCGTAAACCCGAAACCCAACTTTCAGAAGTGATGACAAGCAGGAGCGGAAGCAGGCAGCATTAATATGAAGCCGTCCTGAACCGAAATCATTGCAAGGGTCGCTGCCGAACAACGCGCCCGCCCGCGCCCGCCAAGATGTTTGACAACTCCCGCTTGACGGCGGCGTTCCCCGCCAGGCAGAGTTTTCTTTTGTATGGCGAGGTCCGCAGGTCCACCGCCAGTCCGAGGTCTTACCATGACCCGTAACCTTAACGCATAGCCCTAGCCCTAAAGCCTACACCGTAACGCCAACCCTAACCCCTAACCGTGACCCCCTCCCCTAAGCCCCAACCCTAACCCCTAACCCTACCATTCGCCCTCGCCCCTAAACCCTAACCCTAAACCTAAACCCTAGCGCTGACCCTTAGCCCTAAACCCTGCCCGAACACTCATCCCTAGCCCTATCCTTTAGCCCTGGCCCGAACCCCTGACCCTAGCCCTAACCCTAACTTAAGCCCTAACCCTAACGCATGACTCCAATCCTAAGTCTAAACCGAAACTCTCATCCTGACCTTACACCCTACCCCTAAGCCAAATCCGAGCCCCCACCTTAACGCCATTCGTCGATATCGCATCGGAAGAGAAAGCCCGCACAAGCAAAAGCAGACACCATCCATCAAGAGGAAACCATCCTGAACAACAAGTCGTTGCAAGGGTCGCCACCGAACAGCGCGCCCGCCTTAATTCGGAGGACTCCCACTTGACGGCGACGCCCCCAGCCAAGCAGAGTTCACTTTTAAGGCATGGTCCGCTGGCCCGCCGCTAGTCCGTGGTCCTGCCATAATCCCAAACCCTAACCCATCACCCCAACCCTCAAGCCGAAACCGCAACCCTAACCCTAACCCCGAACCCTAACCCTGACCCTCTACCCTGACCCCTAACCCGAACCCCTAACGCTAACACTCATCCTCAACCCTCGACCCTCGACCTAACCCTATGCGCGAACTCTAATCACTCACCCGAAACCCGAGCCCGAACCCTCACCCCTAACCTTAACCCTGACCCTAGCCCATAACACAAACCCTAACCCCCTACCCTAATCCATGAGCCTAACCCCTAACCCTACCCTAGACCTTAACCCTAACCCGAACCCCCATCCTAACCCGTAGCCCTACCGTAACCCCTAACCCTAACCCCTAACCCTAAGCCCAAACCCTAATTCGTAAACCTAACCCGAACTCTGTACGCTGACCCCTAACCTTAAACCCGAAACTCCACTTCTCAAAAGTGAGGGCACGAAGGAGCAGAAGCAGGCAGCATGAACATGAATTCGCCCTGAACCGAAAACATTGCAAGGGTCGCCGCCGAACAATGCGCGCGCCCGCGCCCGCCAAGAGGTTTGAACACCCCCGCTTGACGGCGGCATTCCCCGCCAGGCAGAGTTTTCTTTTTTATGGCAAGGTCCGCAGGTCCGCCGCCAGCCCGGGGTCTTACCATGACCCGTAACCCTAACGCGTACCCCTAGCCTTAAAGCATAAACCGTAACGCCAGCCCTAACCCCTGACCCTGGCCCCCTACCCTGAGCCCCAACCCGAACCCCTAACCCTAACACTCGCCCTCAACCCTGCGCGCGCGAGCGTGCGCGGGCTAGCGGGGCCGCGGAGATCCACCAGCCAACGCCAAGCACTCATCGCAATCGCCGTCGCATGGTTTTACATACCAAGTTGCGGGTGGGTGGGTGGGACGTTCGCGAGCGCACGGGAATTGAAATTCATTTTGGCAAACCAATCGCACCGCGTATAGTGTGCTACAAGTATTGCGCACCGTATAGGTTGCACATAATACGCGATCTCGGTTGCGCCGTGTGGATTGTGCACCTCATAAGTTCCACCACGTATATCGTATCGAATATATTGCCCAGCGTGGACGGCACACCATCGATCTCACCTTTTATATGAAGCACATGTGTGGCGCCGCGTGCGTTACTGCGCGCAGATTGCACCTCGTCGATTGCACATATCAGGTTGCACCGCGTTGATTGACCCACCAGACCCCTCAACATCGCTGACACCGCAAATCTTGCATCACATAGGTTTCACCACGTAGATTTTTCTAAACAAGATCCAGGATCTACCCCCTCCTGGTGTTAACGGTGCATGTGTTCGTGTTGCAATTTGCACATGGTCCTGCCCAGCTTTCCATCCTAATTATGAATGCACCTCGTCCTTGGCAGGCCGATATCGGTCCCCCCATCATGTTCAGCACACCATACTACGCGCGCGCACCCGTTCATGACATATCACCAGTTTCCGAGAACCCTTTGCGAAGGATGGGACGAAGTGCGCGCGCGCATCGTCGCGCGTGCATGTAGCTATCCTCCAAGAACTTTTGGGTTTCGCAGGGGTTTCAAAACCGAGTGCCTCGAAACCATGTAACAACACGAGGTTTCGCAGTGCGAATTTTCAAAGAAGTCTTGCGCCCGCGCTCTTGCAAATCCAAAAGGAAACCATCGGTTTTCAAACATGTTCACAACACGTTGCCGAACGGGCTTCTCGCGCGCGCACGTCTAAATCGTTCGAGCGCCCCTGCGCGCGTGCTGTCGCAAGAACACTTTGCGACGATTCGGGCGAAGTGCACGCGCGCGCGTCGTCGCGCGCGCGCCGAAATCCTTCGACCACACTGAGTTCCGTAAGGGTTTGCAAATCGAGCGCCCCGAACGCGCATGTGTGTGTGTATAGAGATACATATACACATGTGTGTACACACACATATATATACACATATATATATATATATATATATGTCGCATGTGGCTTTGCGAAGCCAGTTATCAAACAAAAGCTTGCGCTCACGCCTTTGCGAATGCGTAACACAACCGCCGGTTTTTCAACATTGCCATCACATTCTGCCAAGCGGGCCTTTCGTGCTGCATGTCGAACTCATCCTAACGCCCTTGCGCGCGTGCAGGGGAGGGGCGCGGTCCACGTCGGAGAATGCCGCGCGGGCCACTCGCGCGCGTCGGCCGCGCGCGCGTCGGCCGCGCGCGCATGTCGAATTCCTTCCGAAACCTTCATCGCCAACGCGAAGACGTCATCGCTTTCGGCGGGCGTGATCGACATCGGCGCCGTCGTTGACCTCGGCGTCGTCATTGCCGCCATCGTCACCATCATCGCAGCTTTCATCGTCGTGTCTACCGTTGTCGGCGTCGCCATGATACCGCGCCCGCCCAAGTCATCGACTCGCACTGAAGTGCCCGCTGGGAAGTGCCCAGCGGACAGCGCCACCGCGGCCGCGTCGGTCGCGCCAAACTAGGTGGCCGCTGCGCGCGCGTGCATGCCCGGGCTGGCGCGGCCGCAGAGATGCACCAGCCAACGCCAAGCACTCATCGCAATCGCCGCCGCATGGGTTTTGCAAACCAAGCCGTGGGTGGGTGGGTGGGATGTTTGCGCGAGCAGCGGACAGGACAATTCAATGCGAACAAAAGGTCATGGTACCACATAACTTGTACCACGTGGATTGCGCAACATATATTGCCAGAAGCGCTGTTCGGGGTCCGCGCTGGCTATACATACCGATTTTCACAGAGCGTACGGTCGTTGTCGGTCGTTCAAGAGGTGCTCCTGCTCTAGTGTGGGCCTCATTGTAGGATCGGCGCTTCGTTCATGTCGTTCAGAATGGCACTATCACCCCAGCGCGAGCCATTTTTGTGGATGTGGGTCGCGTCGTTGTCGCCCCCCGTCCTCTCCCCTCCGCTGCCTTCCCGTGGTCCCCCTGCTCCTCCCGATCCTTCCACTCCAGCTCGAGCTGCTGCTGTTCGACCTCGTTTTGTTCGTTCCTCGTTTTGTTTCTTTTCCTTGTTTTCCTTCTGCTCATGTTCCTGCTCATCAGCTTGTTCCCCCCATGTACGCAGCGCCACTCTCTCCGATTGCGCAAAACACGTTTTTTTCGTTTTGGATTTCCAGGTGCGCTATGACACGCCGTGGTGGATAGAGGAAATTTCGCCGCAACAGGAACGGATGGAATGGAGGGCTCGGATGCCTGATGCGGTGCCAGCTCACCTAGCTCGCCGCCTCCCCCTCGCTGTCCCTCCCTCCAAGCGTGTGTGAAGCTCGCGCCTCGCTGCCCATGGGCGTGCAAAAGGGGCACGTTTCGCCCTTTTCACTACATCCCGTGTTTGTTTTCCAGTCGCAGTCTTCACGGACAGCGCCAGGAGGATGGGAATAAACGGCACCTCCCGCCACAAGGGTTGGGCGTGGCGGGCGCGAGTACCCCTCGCGCCCGGACGGACATTCCGCCCGAACTGTTGCGCTCTCCTCTCCCTCCCTCCCCTTTCTTTTCCCTCCCTCCCTCCCCTTTGTTTACCCTCCTCTCTCTTCCCTCAATCGCGCAGCCGTTGTCGGCTCAACCGGTCGCGTACTCGCCCATTGAAGCTCCACGCTGGCCCCCCCGGTAGCCGGGGCGGGGCTGGCGGAGGTTGGTGCTTCCCCTTCCACTCTCCCCCCTCCCTCCCCTTCCTCCCCTCGTTCTCCTTGTCCTCGTCCCTCAGTCATCCTCGGCCTTCCTCTACGTCGCCGTCATGGTCGTCTTTCTTTTCGTCCTTCCTTCATTATCCTGCTCTGCCCTCGCTTTTCTACTCCCTCCTCGTCCTCGTCCTCACTGTCGTCGTCGTCCTCCCACCTCCCTATCCTATCTCCATCCCTCCTTCGTCCCTCTCCCCTCTTCAAAATGATGGTAATACGATGATGATGCTGATGATGCTGATGGTGGTGATGATGACGACGGCGATGATGACGATGCTGATGATGATGCTGATGATGATGGTGATGACGGTGATGGTGATGACGATGATTATGATGATTGTGTGATGGTGATGATAATGAGGATGATGATGATGCTGCTGATGATGCTGATGGTTATGATGCTGATGTTGCTGATGCTGATGTTGATGCTGATGATGACGATGATGGTAATGATGATGCTGATGATGCTGATTATGATGATGATGCTGCTGATCATGATGATGATGATGATGATGATGATGATGATGATGATGATGATGTTATTCGCATTTTTAATATTATCATTACTAATACTTGTGTTCGTATGATTAGTATTGTTGTTGTAGTTGTTGTTTTTATTATTCGTATTATTAAAAGCCTTATTGTTGTTACCATTTTTTTTAGTATTGCTTGATTCGCCATTGTTGTTTTTATGTTTCGTACTGTTATCATTGTTGTTATTACTGTTTTTTTTATCTGCTTCTGATGTTGATGCTGATGATGATGACGATGCTGATGATGATCGGGAGCAGGAAGAGGAGGGAAGAGGATGAGGAGGAAGAGGAGGAGGTGGAGGGAGGAGGAGGAGGAACCCTCTTTTTTCGCCTTGCCCCTTTATTTTTTATCTTCGTTTTTCTGGCCATCGCCCCAGCCTTCGCCGTCGTCGTCGTCGTCGCCTTCGTGATCGCCCTTCTGCTGCCGTTCGTCCTCTCCCTTTTCTTCTTGCACTCCCTCTCGTCGTCGTCTTCCTCCTCCTCTTCATTCTCCCAGTTCTTCACGCTTCGCGGATCGCCACCATCCCGCGTCTTGCAGGTGCGAGCTTTGTCCGCCGACTCTGGCGGCAAATTGTCTTGCAAATTAGCCCCGTACCGTGACCCGGACGCCGCTTCCGCTCCCTGTCCGTTGCCTCGGAGCCGCTGACCAAAAAAAAGTATCGCCACCATCCCGTTCAGAATCTTTCCCCATGAGAGCTTTGGGAGAAAGGACGAAGAGACACGTCTAGTGTGGCAACCATGATGAACAGAGAGATTTCCAGGAGTAACGGGGGTGGCCTTGGAGGGCCTCTTCGGGCCATCCCTGGGGCCCGCCTGGGAGCAAGGGGAGTAGGAGGAGGAGGAGAAGGAGGAGGAGGAGGATGAGGAAGACGACGACGACCTGGACGACGAGGAAGAGCAAAAGGAAATGAAGACTATGAGGGCAAGGACGATGACGAGGACGAGGAGGAGGAGGAGGAGGCGGAGGAGGACATCAAGGACGAGGATAGAGCCCTCAAACGCGCCTCTTGAAGTCCTCTTGGGACTCTTCTTGGGATCTTGGGGTTCTCTTGGAGCTCTTTCGGGGGGTCTTGGAGCCCTCTTGGGTCCCTCTTGGAGCCCTCTTGGGGGTCAACTTCGAGCACTGCAAGGCCTCTTGGGGCCATCTTGGAGGCCATCGATCAAGAGGGGCGGGTTCCAATTTGCCAACCACCTCTTGGGCCATCAAAATCGCCTCTTTGGGCGCTCTTGGACCGATCTTAAGCGCTCTTTGAGGCTGTTTTGGGGGCCGAGTGGACCCCTCTTGGGGCTCTCTTGGGCCAACTTGGGACAATCCTGAGGCCTCAAAAGCGCATCGGAAGCGAACAGGCGAGAAATCAAAACTTATTACCTAACAGCGAAGACTCATAGGTTTCTAGTAGTGTCGAAAGAGAGCATCATGACTCCCCAGGGGGGTCTGGGCGGGATCCGGACGGGATCCGGGGGAATCCGGGGACTCTTTTTTCAGCCAACAGTAACGCATTTCGTGGTCTTCGAGTTCCCAGAACTCCATTCCTGGGCATGATTTTGAATGCCGGGAGCCAGCTGTAGGCCACTTCGTGGTCTTCGAGTTCCCATAACTCCATTCCTGGGCATCATTTTGAATACCCGGAGCCAACTGTAGGCCACTTCGTGGTCTTCGAGTTCCCAAAACTCCATTCCTGGGCATGATTTTGAATACCCAGAGCCATCTGTAGGCCACTTCGTGGTCTTCGAGTTCCCAGACTTCCATTCCTGGGTATGATTTTGAATGCCTGGAGCCAACTATAGGCCACTTCGTGTTCTTCGAGTTCCCAAAACTCCATTCCCGGGCCACA